TTTTTTTGCCGATGCCCGTGATGCCGCCCCCCACCACGATGCCGCCCCGGGCAACCGCCCGTGTCGCCCATATCAAAAACCGCTACTGGCTCTGTCCATTCTTTTGAACTTACAAATCTTCCAGCGCTGCCTCGGGCTTCATATGTTTCACGCCAAGAAAGCATCATTTTCTTAAAATCTGAAGAAAAACTCAGAGTTTATAACATGACAGAAAATCTCAGGAACTGGTGCCATTTCAAGGCCAAGACCCTGCAAACCCATTATGTCTGTTTTCCAGCAACTGCAGTGGCTTTATTTATGTAATCAGCAATATGTAAATCTTAAAATGTCCACAGCAAGCAAAGCTGTTGAGATTTTCAAAGCGCCCATTTATTTGGCTCACTTTGTTTTAAGGTTGGAACCTGTCAGGCATATAAACAGGTTTCCCTTTTCAACATTAGAATTGCTAAACCTGCAATTCCCAAAGTCAAGAGTGAATTATACTTCTGCGTCAGATGTACGTCCCAATTTCCGCAAAAACCAAACCCCAGTTTATCCTTGTCCTACAACCTTCTACGTAACCTGACGTGCACCTCCGAGAACTACATGCCACAAAGGCTTGAATGGCGTGGAAGGTTGTGGTGTATGGATAGTGTAGCCTACGTTGGGTAGGCTACTTGCTTTCTACCCTGTAGTAATTATAGCTTGTTACACTTATCACTATACCCATCAATCCTAAGGGGCAAGGGTGTCACCCAGTGGTTTGTGGGTGGGGCTGCTGAGGTGGCCCCACTCACCTCTTCACGGCTAACTGCCCCTTAGTTTTATCTGCTCCTCAGAAATCAAGAGTTTTGGGGAGGAGGTGTAGATGTGCGCTGTTGCCCAGCAGTCAGATGTTCATGTCACATCTGCCCGCTCTATTCACCACACATACCACCTCTGGGGGTAGCTAGTGTGTCTTCTTACACATCTGTTGGGGCGGAGGTATGTGTGTGTATGACTGGGCCTGAGTTTGGGACTTGTTGCGCCTTAACCCCTGTGGGACATGGCGGGCGGTTGCTCCTCTTGCTGCTCCCATTTGATCGTTACTGCCTCTTTGTGGATGTTGGTAGTTGGTGGTTCGGCGCACATGATCAGATGATCTGGCGTGTTCACTGACCTGCTTCCTTGGAGGTTGTGTTTCGGGGTGGGTCAGGCCTTGTTGTGGTGGGGGTCTCTGGGGGGTGTTGGGCCGTTATCAGGAGCCTGGGGCACAGGGCTTCTGGGCCCGGTCCTTGGCTCGTGTCTGGTGGATGGTCAGCTGCCCATTGCTCCCAAGGAGCTCATTGCTCCTTTGGAGCTCTTGCCCTGCAGCCATGGGGGATCTGTCTTCCTTCTGCTTCGCTGGGCATGCAGTTATTATTGTGACGTGCAGCCTCTTCAGCGCTCTTGGTGGGCTGCGGACGGCCCGGGTCTCCTGGGCCTTCCTCTGTCTGGTTCTGGCTCCCAGGGGCCGTGTTGTGGCGTCTAATCCTCTTCATCAAGTACTTTCATGACAAATGCGCACACACTTTGTTTGTTTTTGTTGTTATTTCTCTGTCAGTTGGTTTGTTTTGACTGTGTTTTGTTACAAATGCAGCAACTGATGACCTGTCATGTTTTATTTGTACTCGGTCCTTTATTGTTATGTTTATTCCCTATTTTTCTCT